TTAAACATGTAATTGGGAAAAAACACAATTTAAACATGTAATTGGGGCGAAAACACTAACATTGTAGTGGTGATTAATGAATTCAGAAACCCTAATTTTACATGTAATTGGGGCGAAAACACTAACATTTTATGAATTACATGTTTAATTGCCCATTTAAATTATGTTTTTACCCCAATTACATGTTTAATTGTCCAGTTATTCATCCAATTAATGAATTCATAAACCCTAATTTTTCGAATTTAGCAAATCCCCCAAATTGATTACCCAAACCCTAATTAAACTATTTAATTCGATTCATTGTAGGTTAGATTGTAGAAATTATAACCTGATTTGCGAAATTTTTGTATTTGAAATCAAAATTGAGAGATGAAATTGAAAGAAGGGAGTAGAAGAATAGGGGAAATCGAGGGAAGAATGAGGGAAAACAAAAGTGTGGGTCCCATGATGACGTCATGCGGCAAAAAGGTGGGAATTTGAAAACTTTTGGAAAAAACTAGGTGGTAAAATTTTAAAAAAAAAACTTGAGGTGGTATTTTTAATTTTGGCAACAATAGTTGGTGGTAATTATCAAATTTTCCTAAATTAATTGAATCTTTCTTATCTTTGTTGACTCCAAAATAGCATAGTTTTATATCACTGTAGTCATTATAATATGTACAATAATAAAATTATCAAGTAAATAGATTGCTATAATCTTTAAATGTTTACTTTTGTTTTGTTTTTTTTTTTGGGAAGGATATATCAATATTTACATGTTGGCGTTTTGGAAAATTATATTAAATTTTCTAGAATACCAAGTAAGTAGTATATTGCTATTTTTATTTATGTATCGAAATATTTGTTTCTTAAATAAATTTTGTTAAAAAAAAAAAAAAAAAAAAAAAAAAAAACTAAGAACACACCAAGAGATGACACGTGTCTTTTAGTATATTGTTATTGATTGATTGATGATTCCATTTTTATTGTTTGGTTTGTAAATGACTTGGTGGATGATTTTCATAAGGCCCTTTTGTCATTGTTTGTTTTTAATTTTTAACTTATATGGCGAGATTTGACATATATTACTTATCATAAATCGATATTTAACTATTTGTTAATGTTTTCTTTAGTTATGTAGGATCAAGCCTTGCTTACCCTTTTTGGTCATTAGAATGAAAGACCAAGTTAGGTTTATCTTTGACAATCCGATGACTATAATTTTCATAAAATCTTTCATAAACATTAATTATGAATATCCTTATGCCCAATTTGGTAATGTGTGCCTTAAGCTTATTGATTATAGGATAGGTATCTTAATAATACTATTATATCTCATAATGACCAAGCAAAGCTTGGTGCCTTGTTATCTTAGTAATACTATTATATCTCACAATGACCAAACAAAGCTTGGTGCCTTGGTGGAGTTGGTGTGGAACTCACCTTATAACTTTAAAGTCTTACCTTCCCTCTATTCTCAAGCATTGACCTGCAGAGCCGAGTAAGGGTGTTTTTATTTGATTCAATTGTCATATATTTATTAGATTTAAAACTCTTTACAGATGTCGTATGACTTTTTATTTATAAATCAATCTTTATTTTGGAAAAAAAAAATCAATTTATTCCTATTATATTGAAACAATTTTGGTTGAAAATGGTTTGAGTTAAATGAGTCACATCTTTTAACTAATTTGGATTAATTTAATTAAAGGTTAAAATAGATCATTTTGCTATTGGATGATCAAAATTCATATCAATTTGATATCAGGTTGATTACAATCAGGTTGGGTTGGTTTTCATTTTCCAATTGATGGGCTATAAACTTATTATCGGTTCACTTATCATTGAGTCGGGTACTAGTGTCCCTTAGGGTAGTCTCGTACTCTCGTGATTTAGAATAAAAATCGAAGGTTTGAGTATTTAAGGATAGTCTCGTATTCTCATGGTTCAGAGTTTCGTGGTTTAGAGTGAAAAACAAAGGTGTGAAAATTTAAGGGTAGTCTCGTACTCTCGTGGTTCAAACTTCAAAGTAGTAAAAATCTAGCTGGATCAGGCTCATCATGATGAATTGATTACTTCTATAGCGGCTCAAGCGGATAGTCTCATGGTTTAGATTAGTAGCCGACGGTGGTCGTAATTATGGTTACCGGTTTGGTACTCGTAGTCGTAGTTGTCAGTTGTCACTTATCAGTTTGGCGGAGCGTCGGATCAACTTTTTCACACGTGGAAGCAATAATGTAATTGTAGACCCCACTTTCAAAAGTACTACATTACAGCCGTTGATCAATTTACTTGACAATGTGATCCCCCCAATCCACCGTCAAATTTTTAAAACTAAAATCCCGTTGAGGTAAGCAAATGAACTCCATCTTTTTACTCGTATCTTTTATACTCCAATCATTTTTGTCGGAGTACGTATAAAATTGAAGGAATGTATTAAGTACTCGGTAAAACAAATTTGACAAGTGAGAATTACGGAGTATAATTAAAGTAATAGAGAATCAAATCTTCAAATAGTTTTACTTTACAACACTAAAAAAAAAAAGCTAATTATAGTTTTTTTTTTACGTAGTGCGACAAGTTGACGCACCAAAACAATTACCGATTGACCGGGTAACCTTTAACTAACAAAGTAACCTATGTCCGAGTAACATAGCTGAGTAACCTAGCCACACAACCCCTGACCAAGTAAACCCCAACTGAGTAACCATGATCTAGGGTCTGTTCACATTTATTTAATTTCAGTTCAGTTCAGTTCAGCTCAGTTCAGTAAACATGAACAGGCCCTACGTAACTTCTGACCACGTAATCTCTGACTAATTAATTAACCCTAATTACACCATAAAGTCAGCCACATGAAAATTATAAAATAAAATCATACATGGAAAAATTCAGTTAGTAGTAAATGAAATTTTTTTACCATAATAATAATAAAAAATCTAAATAAGGATAATTTTGTAAACCTTTTTTATTCTAAAAGTGAGATTTAATGAAAATTATAATATAAAATCATACATGGAAAAATTCAGTTAGTAGTAAATGAAATTTTTTTACCACAATAAAAAAAAATCTAAATAAGGATAATTTTGTAAACCTTTTTTATTCTAAAAATGAGATGCACATAAAATAATATAAGTTGTTAAAAAAAAATTAGATGGAGTATTAGTTTTTCAATTTTTTCTTATTTATTTATTCACTTTATACTTTTGTAGTTCCACCCCATTCACTCTTTAGGTTAATCCGAATATAAGAATTATTTCTAAGTAATTAGATTTCAATTCCTTAACAAATGTTATTGTGGAGGTCGAATACGTTTCCCAATCACCACTGCACCAACAACCAATAGGTATTTTGCTTATTTATTCTAGATCTACGTATTACCGAGTTTTTCCCTAAAAAAAGAATATTTGTAATCATATGTAAAAAAATGTGTAATATATTGACATGATAAGCCAAGTGTAAGAAAGATGCTTGAAAAAGTAGGTAGAAAACAGCAAGTGAATAGCAAAATGCATAGGCTACGGAAACGTTTAAAGAAGCAAGGAACATCGACAAAACAGTAGCATTACCTTCTTTTCATTATTTTATCTTTATTTTTTTTTTCGGAATTCTGAACATGTGTCTTCCCCCTCTTCTTGACTACAATATCCGAGACGTCTACTCCCCTTAGAAAACCTAACTTATTATCTCACGAACTTCTTCATGTCTCACTTTCCTCGGGACTCGGTATTTTTTTTTACTCTAAAAAAATCTACTCCATAGTTTCCTAAAAATCTACTCTCTCCGTTTTTAAATATTTGCTCAATTTTTCATTTACGGCCGTTTTAAATACTTACTTCATTTTCTTATTTGAAAAACTTTTATAATATTTAATCAATTTCTCTCATCTAGTGGTCCCAACATATATTCTCTCTCCTCTAATTCTCTCCACTACTTTTGCTTTCTATAATTTTTTATTCTTCCACCAACCCTACTACCTCCATATTTTATTACTTTATCTAATTTTTCCTAAAAATCCGCACATGGAGAAATAGAGCAAGTATTTAAAAACGGAGAGAGTATATATTAATGGTGTAATTAATTCACTCGATTTTTACTTATTTGAACTTAACTATACTTGTTTGAATTTATTTAAACTTCTCTAAATCTATTACTCCCTTCGTGTTTTTTTTAAGTGTTACAGTTTGACCGGCATATAGTTTTAGGCAATTTAATTGACTTAAATAAAATAAGAGGTAAGTGGGGTAGTTGGAGTATTAAAAAATTGTAAAGGAAAGACAATGGTTATTTATTTATTTATTTTTTTTTTTTTTTACAATAGATAGTGGTTAATAGTTTATTGAAAAGTAAAGAATGTGAGAGGAAAAATATAATAAAAAAGTAGTAATGAGTTTGGGTGGGAACCATGAGAGGAGAGTGATATAATATTTTAATGTAGTTTTTTGCCAAAATAGGAAGTGTAAAACTTATTTAAAAACGGCCGGATTTGGTAAGTGTAACATATAAAAAAACACGGAGGGAGTACAACTTATTTTAGTTGTAAATTGAACTTGAGTATCTTTATTAGATATTTTCCCTAAATTAAACTTATTTTAACTGAATTTATTAGACCTAAAATAAGTGAAAATAAAGTAAACAAATCATATACCCTTATATCGTAAATTTTACCTATACATAAGAATAATGATAGTGTTCTAAAAACTAAAAGGAGTATTCATATTCAAGTTAATCGCGAATCAGTTAATCATATATTTTCGTTAGAAACTTTGAAAATAGTATTGTAGTCCGTAGTAAGCAACAAAACCTAGTCTTTAATTTATAGAACGATCAATAGAATAAAATCCGAACTATCTAATTTCGTGTAGATTTCAAATCAAAGTAAAATTATTGGAATCGAGTTATTTCGGGTTTAGGTACACACAGTACATATTACAAACTCCGTATACCCTGCGCTGCCTTATTTGTTTAACTTGTTAACTGTATAATTGCATAATTGTATATGACGTTGGAGCATAATATAAGTGAGGGACATATCATTATTAAACTTTACCCTCATCTTTCTAAACCATCTTTTTTGCTCTTTCACTCAGCTTTTTTCTTCCTGTCCTTTTATTTTTATTCCATTTTCTCTACACTTGAAAACCCTTTTCCCACTACCAAAAACCTTCTCAAAATCCTCCAAATCTACCCAAAATCATCTCAGGTAACCCTAAATTCATCATCTTTGGTATTCAAACTGACCAATTTTAGTAATGCATTACTTCATTTTATGTGCAATTCTTCTTCTCTTGAGCTCAAAATCTTCAGTAATAAACTGTTTGAATGATGAAGGTGTTGCACTTTTATCATTCAAACAATCCATAACTCAAGACCCAGATGGGTCTATGAGTAATTGGAATCAATCTGATGAAAACCCATGTTCTTGGAATGGTATAACTTGTAAATATCTCAAAGTTGTTTCTGTTAGTATACCCAAGAAAAAATTACTAGGGTATCTTCCTAGTTCAATTGGGTCTCTTTCAGAATTAAGGCATGTTAATTTAAGGAGTAATAGGTTTTATGGACCATTACCCCTTAATCTTTTTCAAGTAAAAGGGCTTCAAAGTTTGGTACTTTTTGGTAATTTCTTTTATGGATCATTACCAAGTGAGATTGGGAAGCTTATTTACCTTCAAAATTTGGATTTGTCTCAAAATTTCTTAAATGGGTCTTTACCCTCTTCAATTCTTCAATGTAAGAGGCTAAAAAATCTTGTTTTGAGTCATAATAATTTTAGTGGGAGTCTCCCAAATGGGTTTGGGAGGGTTTTGGTTGGTCTTGAGAAACTTGATTTGTCTTATAATAAGTTTAATGGGTCTATCCCAAATGATTTGGGAAACTTGTCTAGTTTGCAAGGTACTGCTGATTTTTCTCATAATTTGTTTAGTGGGTTGATTCCTGCTAGTCTAGGTGAGTTGCCTGAGAAGGTTTATATTGATCTTACTTATAACAATTTGAGTGGACCAATTCCTCAAACTGGTGCTCTTATGAATAGAGGACCTACTGCTTTTATAGGAAATCCTGGCCTTTGTGGACCTCCGTTGAAGAACCCTTGTTCTTCGGATTCTTCGGCCGCCTCGCCGGCTTCATACCCTTACTTGCCTAGTGATTATTCACCCCAAGGGAGTAGGGATAGTGGTGGGAAGAGTAAGGGAAAAGGGCTTAGCAAAAGTGCTATTGTAGCCATTGTAGTGAGTGATGTTGTTGGGATTTGTCTAATTGGGTGGTTGTTGTCCTATTGTTATACAAGGGATTGTCCTTGTAAGAGTAAGGATGAGAAAGGAGGGAGAGAAAGTAGGGAGTGTTTTTGCTTCACTAAAGAGGAATCCGAAACCTTATCAGAGCACATTGAGCAGTATGATTTGGTGCCCTTGGATTCTCAAGTGGCATTTGATTTAGATGAGCTTCTTAAGGCGTCCGCTTTCGTGTTAGGAAAGAGTGGGATCGGTATTGTGTACAAAGTAGTGCTTGAAGATGGACTCACATTGGCTGTGAGAAGACTAGGCGAAGGCGGTTCACAGAGGTTTAAGGAATTCCAAACCGAAGTTGAAGCAATTGGGAAGCTTAGGCACCCGAATGTTGTCACATTAAGGGCATATTATTGGTCTGTTGATGAGAAGCTGCTCATATATGACTATGTTCCCAATGAAAGCCTATCCACTGCAATACATGGTATGAATTTCAGAAACTCTGTTTGCCTGTTGATTAATTTTGACTTTGTTGTAAGGTTGGTTTCTTAATATGTTTCATTGGCTTTTGTTGGTTGATATGTCAATAGGGAAGCCAGGGATGGATTCATTTACACCATTATCGTGGTCAATTCGATTACAAATTATCAAAGGTGTTGCTAGAGGTTTAGTGTACTTGCATGAATTCAGCCCCAAAAAATACGTTCACGGTGATTTAAACCCGAGCAATATACTTCTTGGACACAACATGGAGCCCAAAATCGCAGATTTTGGACTTGGCCGCCTTGCTAATATTGCCGGGGGATCGCCTACCCTTCAATCTAGTAGGATGACCTCTGAGAAACCCCAGCAAAAGCAAGCAGGCAGTGCACCATCAGAAGCTGGAAGTGTCTCAGCTACGAATGCACTTACTTACTACCAAGCTCCCGAGTCCTTTAAGGCTGTGAAACCGTCACAAAAATGGGATGTCTACTCATATGGGGTGATCTTACTAGAAATGATCACCGGAAGATCCGCGGTAGTTGAAGTGGGCACCTCGGAAATGGACCTTGTTCAATGGACTCAACAATGCATTGACGAGAAGCAACCACTAATAGACATTTTAGATCCGTCTTTGGCTCAAGAAGCAGACAAGGAAGACGAGATAATAGCTGTTCTAAAAATCGCTATGGCTTGTGTTCATACCATCCCCGAGAAGAGGCCAACGATTAGACATGTCTACGACGCATTAGACAGATTACCCGAGCTAAGCTCATAAAAACGCTCCACATATCAATAAGATTGTGGCCTTCCTTGAAGGTAGATTTTGTGGATCAAGTTATGGCTTGGTGGGTGAATCATGAATGCTATCTTTGCCCGTGAACACATAGTCACTAAGAGTAGGATGTTAGGCTAGCAGTGCTGCAAGTAAATGTTACTCGTTTAAGTATTTTGAGTGTGTTTTTATGATACATAATTGTAAGTACATAATGCCAAATTTGTTGTCTCATTCTATCTTTTTGTGCTTGTAACCTTTGCAGCAGAAAGCTTTTGTCTTATTGTTCTTTGTCAATGAAATTGGAAAGCAATGTTTCATGCTTAGCTTGTTTGCTTCCTTCATTAGATTCCTGTGTCTATGGAAGTGTATAATACTCCGTAGAATAGATTACTCTAATTGCTAACGGAGTAGTACTTTGTAATGCTTAGATTCTCTTCCATACACTAGAATCTACACTACCTTCTGAGCCCCCTATTATTAGCTTCATCTTGGTCGGACCACCCTATAGCTTTTTTTGGGTGCATCGGTGTATATAGTCACTTAATTAACTAGATTCGATGCTAGGTTTTGGGTGCTAACGTACTATACAATTGCCATTACAATTATGGAGTAAGTTAGGGTCTGTTCCGATTTATTGAACTGATTGGAATTGAACTGAACTGAACTGAATAGAGCTGAAATGAATTGTTTATTAGAGAAAAAAAAATTAGGAACTGGACTGAACTGAAATGAATTGAAATTAAGTTGAAGAGAACATGTCCTAATTATCAACCAACTAATACTTTTGGGCAATTAATTACCCTTGATGTCTTGATGATTAGTGCATAACACTCTAAGTGCAAAATAATTTACTTAAAAAAAATTCCTAATCTCTTGAGAAAACTTTTAATTTCCAACAACAGATGTACTATAGATTAATGAAAAATCAACAAATATCACACACATGGATGACTTTATTGTTTATAAGTCTATAACAATGAGTTAAATTGTTGGTAGGGACAAACTCTTTCAATGCATATTCTATCAATAAAATCAACATTACAAAGAGAATACAGAGTACTAAATGCTTTCCATTTTCATGTGTATTAATTTTGGAGTTGGGACAAATGGACAATACATTATACGAAGTACTTGTGTAGTTGTGTGTCATTGAAGTGGAATCCAACTCCAAGTTGCTAACTTTATCTTTAATGATGTCCTTCAACTTCTCAACTTTCATTACCGCTGATTATTAATTTCATCACTCATACAAGGCTCCACCCAAGGGCCAAGGATGAAGGCTCCAAACAACCCTATTTTTTCATATTTATCAATTGATTTAGTCCATTTGGTATTATTGTGGCTTTTTTTTTTTTGAGAACCGTATTATTGTGGCTTTTAATATTGTACTTCCTCTATTTTTTTTTTAATTATTGCACCATAGAGGTTGGTACTTTTTTTTTTTTTTTTTTTTTTTTTTTTTTTTTTTTGCGGTGGGAAAAAGGAAGAGAGAGGGGGGTAAAATTACAAAGTTATCCATGTAATGTAAACATAAACTAAAAAATCAATTAAGTGACAAAAGTTAAGAGTATATTAGGTATTTGTAGTGTGAACAAAGATATTTTCATATTTTGTTTCTTAAAATGGAAACAATGTAGTATTTCTAAAAATTCCTTAAAAAGCAAGTAAAAACGAAGGAAATAGTATGTTCAATCTATCTAATGTTCTATGCATTAACTCATCGGATAATCTATCTAATGTGTCGTAGACATTTCTTCATATACTTTGGTTATATGTTCAATAAATTTAGTCTTCATGACTTACATACTACCAAGTATTGAAATTAGTCTTCGTGTTCATTGATTTTAGACGTGATATTTGATGAATACAAAGGAGCATTTTTTTTTTTGAAATAGAATACAAAGGAACATTGTGCATACGCTTTCACCATCATAATTACAAAAAATGAGTACCCCTGTACCTATGTAGAGTTTTTATTACTAGCAGGTGTTACAAAAATAAATTGTTAACGTGGGTATCTCCCCTGTTTCATTAAGTTGATATATATACTCCCCACTAATAACAAGATAGGTAATTCCCCACTAATAACATGATAGATACTTCCCCACTAATATACTACCACACTAACTAAACATTTGCAAAACTATTTCCACTTGTCTAACTACATTTATCTGATGTTAATTACCAATACTAAGAGAAGAATAACTAGAAATTAGGATTTATAATTTGAGGCACTACATCCAACTGATGGAAGTCGAGTATGAAATAAGTTAAAGATAAATTATGTAGGGTTCTTACATTCATTTTTTTTGCACAAATTTCAATCAATAAACTACATACAAATTACGATAAATCAAATAAGATCTCACATGAATATTCAATTGAATTTGACTCTATGAAGATACTAAAATTTCTAGGTGTAAATGGTCAAATAAAAGAAGTGAATAAAACTTTGTACACCTCAGTTATTTAAGCATATTTGTTTGTATTAGAAATGATCAATTAAAACCTGAACACGTCCGATTAGATAAAATCTTTATACTTGTGTTTATTTATCGGTAAATATCTTTATTTTGATTTTAAAAATATTATGAAAATTTCATGTTCGGAAAAAATACATCAATACAATTTTAATTATATCTCATTTGATAGTTTTTATTTTGATTAGATCAAATCAAACAAATGAGGTAAATTTAGTCAAATTCAAAAATCAAATCAGATTAGACCATATGGTAGAGTATATAAATCAATTATTGTCTTTAATAATCAGCTTAACTTTTGGTTGAGTTGATTCTCTAACATGGTATCAAGATTTAAGAGCCAACGTGATACAAAAGTCACTATATCGAATCTCATCCACCCTTCTTTTCAAAGTGCTAGGTATGGTGGGCCCATGCTACATCCACATTTCAAATCCAATGAGCTCTCATATGAGGGAACATGATAGAGTATATAAACCGATCTTGGACTTTAACCATTTAACTTAACCTTTTACGGAGTAGTTTAGTTGATATTTTAGTAGTATCTAATTAAACGAAATGAACATAATTAATATCTGAAATTGATTTACAAACATATATACTCTCCGTTTTTTATTTATTTATTTTTTTTATTACACCTATCAAATGCACAATTTTTTATTAAATCCCTACACTTCCATTTTTGACAAGAACATCAATCCTTTGACTGAGTTTGTAAGAGAAATGCCTCACAGTTTAAGGATGTCAGTCCATTGTCAACTTAGATTTGCCTAATCCTGACCAAAATACTTTCTTAACTGTCAACATGATTAAACATATTCTGTCTAACTTACTGACTCCTGTCCTTTTTTGGCGTTTTATAATGCTGGCATATTGTACAAGAAATATATATTAAGAAAATAATGCAGCATAATCTTTTTTTTTAATTATTGGTTAATTATCCAAATAATTTTAGGATAGAATTAGGAATTTAGAAACAGTAATTAACCAAGTTAAGTAGTCTACAGCTTCTTAAATGATTTGGTGTCCGCCAATCATGCCTTCCAAAAAGTGAGAAAGTTTAAGTTTATGGTTATAGATGACAATTTTTTGACTTTTTATCATGTTTTTCAATCATATGATTTGTCAAGCTGGTCAAGGAAGAAAATGAAGGTATTTGCTGAAAATGCTTCCCAACTAATTGCGTTTGTTTTGACAGAAAATAATTTTTTTCCAATTCAACTTGATTTTTTCATTTTGTTGTTTAATTTGTAAAGAGTAAAAGCAAATTTTTTGAGATTAATACTTTTCTTTTAAAAAGAAGGAATGTTAAATTTTTCTCTCAACTTCCAGATTACACAAGATAATGTGATTACAATATTTCAAATAAAAATAGACACAATAAAAAGCCAATCCAAAATAAGAAAATAATACTTCCACTAATCCATATTATATTGTTATTACATGTAACATACTTTTGGGCATGTATTTTATAGACTAGATTTGAGGGTGTAAATTAGTAAATTAATCAAAATCTCAACTTTATAAAGAGAATACGAGTAAGTACCACCACGTAGGGCCTGTTTTCTTCCGTTGAAATTCAGTTCAGTTCAGTTCAGCTCTTAATTTACGTCTAATGATATTGCTAATGATATAAAGCCAAATTTCATTCTTTTAAGCTCTTATTACAACGACAACAACAACAACAACAACAACAACAACAATAATAATAATATTAACAATAATAATAATAATAATAATAATAATAATAATAATAATAATAATAATTATAATCAATATGTAATAAATAATAATAATAATAATCATCAATAAATAATAATAATAATAATAATAATAATTGAAATAATAATACTAATAATAATAATCAATAAATAATAATAATAATCATCAATAAATAATAATAATAATAATAATAATAATAATAATAACAATAATAATAATAATAATAATCAATAAATAATAATAATAATAATCAAAATTAATAATATTATTATTATTATTATTATTATTATTATTATTATTAATATGTACATTTGTATATACACATATGTATAGTAATAAATAATCAATAAATAATCAAAGATCACTAATCCATAGTTAGAAAGCACTAATTGATAAGTTCAGTTCAGTTCAGTTCAGCTGAGTTCAGTCAATCGGAACAGGCCCGTAGTCCATTAATAAAGAAAGTTGTGTCAAAATAGGATACAGTTTCATATACACTTGGATACAAACCGTATCCTATTTTCACACAACTTTCTTTATACTAGTACGTAAATGGATTTGTCACTTTAACCTTGGATACATATATATTTATCCATCATTTTTTTTATTGTAACTATTCCATTTAAGGAAATAATAAATTAATCGTAATATTATTTTATTTGGATAATGATTCTCTCTATCTCTCTTCTCATCACATGAATAACTTCTTTTTTTTTTTTTTAATAATCACTTTCTATCTCTCTCCTCTCCTATAAACCATGAAACTCCCCTATGTTGTAATTATTTTTAAGGAGGAAGTATATAGTCCGATATTAATGGATACAATATTGTTGCAATAAGTGCTAAGATGGTCAGCATATTGTAAAAGTAGTTCTTTCCTTCCATACGTTAAGATGTTGGAACTTGGAAAGGACCTAGATAAAAGATTATAAAAGAAGGCCATTTTTTTTTTACAACAACAAACTAAAGAACTACACTAAGTAGTAAAACTAATTAAATCTACTCTATACCTATTAGCAATGTCATGTGATTTAGCAACTTGTTCTCGGCCAACTTTCCAGATGAGGCATGTGATAAACCGTTCACCTTCTTGTAGTAATTCCTGTATCGTCTATAGCAAA